TGTTGACCATTTAAGTTTTGTGAGCTGACCTACCTTGCCATTATTTTAATTCTCGTGTATCGTTTAATTTCATCAAATGCATTATATATTTCTCTTTAATTCGCAATTTAAGTAGTTCGAGTCTATATATTTCATTCACTAATCCCGTAATCGTTTTTTATAACTATCCACGACCTTATTAGTACAACTATTTAAACTTTACAGTATTAATACTATTTTTTCACAATATCTCAATTTCTAATAGTCGTTCTACTTGACCCTTTTTTGGCCAATATGTCTAGCGCAAAGATTCTCATTATGCCTCGACAACCAATTGAACAAAATACCAAAATTTCTTAATATTAATTGTACAAGATAACCAGAATATTTATTTATTTATTTATATTTTCTCAAACTTGGGGAATTTTGGACATTTTGGTCTCAATCAACACATTCAACATACAAAACTAGCAAAACACACAAGCTCAGAATTGCAAGTCGTACCAAGTAGAAATTGTTGATTTCATTTATCAATCTCCATAGGTTGTAGAGCTTGAATGCATATTCTTTTTTCCGAGAAAGGTAGTACACAATAAATGAAAAATCGATATAACGGAAAAAATAATTATCATTGGCTGATACTAAAGCCTAGCACTTGACGTAAATATTTCACCAACGGAAGCATATTCTACAAAACTTGTATAAATTCAGCTATTTTCAAACCTTCCATGATGATTCCATCCAGTTTGAAAGATTAACACTTAATTATTGCTTTCTTAATAGAGTAAGATTTAAGAAATGAAAGAAACAGAAAATTCTGAAGCTGCCATATTATCCATTTTTCATCCAGTTTGGACTGTCCATAGGACCTCATGAGTAGAGCATCTTAAAGAACCAGACCACTTGAGAAAGTGCATTTATAATTATTTCCCACCAAGTAATGCATATTCACATGAAGAATAGTAAACAAAGATAAGGAAACTTTATTTTACATTAAGCTTATCATCAACAAGTGCTTCAAAATTTATTGTTTATTAATGATGCTTACTGACAATTACTCCTTGATCAATCACGCCAATGCATTTTTGCTTTATGTTACTTGACAATAGTGTACAGGATAATATAAAATATTTTAACTTTATTTTTTGGAAAAGTCTCCCCGTACATAATTTTTGTACATAAGGTTGTCCACTACTTATGTACAAAAATTATGTACCTCTAGCAAAGTCCTTATTTTTTCCTTAAAGGTCATCTCTAACTCTTCATCAAAATTTGAATTAAGTTTTGTATCATTTTGTACCAAATTGAAAATTATCTTCAATCCAACACACCAAATGAAGCGTTCCTCATTTTTCATTCTTAACAAAATTTTTTATCTCAAAAATTATTTATTTACTTAGTTATTTTATTACTACATAAATTACTAAATAAATAATTACGTTTAGTTAATGAAAATATTGAATTCATTAATAAATTTATTAAATGCATAATAATAATAATAATAATAATAATAATAATAATAATAATAATAATAATAATAGTAATAAGAATTGAAATTTGTTATATAACAAAAATGGTCACAAATACCCTTAACAAAAATTTGGTGTAAAATGGAAAAAGGACAAAATGGTACTTAGGCAATTGGTGCAAAATTATGGTGCAATGGGTAGGAGATGGATTGAACCAAAAATTTGACGCAATAAGATATGTGTTGAAGATGCCGTTACATTTTAAATAATATACAGTCCAGTTCTACGTATCAAATATGTTAAGAAAGTATAGTTGTGAATACAACAATAAGAAGCTAACCAAGTCTTTCATTAGCATACATATACAAGTTCTATACTGTCATTTTGTTCGACCAATTGCAAGATTTACCGGAATATGCAAAGAAGTTGGGTCCTTAATAATTACAACATTTAGTGTTGGGTTTGGTATATCCTTCATCTTCAAGCTTCATAGAATTGCTTTATATGTATACGTGGTAAGATCATCATTCAAATCACAACATCTCTAGCAATTTAAATGGACAATCCTAACGTATATACACATACTACCGTCCATTGAATCTTTTCTCTACGAATAGAAACTTCTTAAATTTATACAAAATATGTATCTGTCCATCACACGAGTCATTATTCTTTAATATATTCCCAATCATGTTACCTCCACTTACTGATTGCATTCTCATTTCTTATCTCATCATCATAAAATGAAAATATCGTGGTTACATATATCCTGTAACATAGAACGAATTAAATAATGCTGTTACTGCGACATAGTAAACAACTCAAAAGAGCAATTACTTGATGATATTAGTGATATACAATCCTAGGCATGGATTGATTGGAGACTGCTATGAAAATGAGCTAGCAAGCCTACGGCCTACCATAGAATAAGGAAGTATATAATAAATCATTTTATGATAGAGAAAGACACTTGCATCGTTTTGCTCGAAAGTTTAAAGGCTACTCTCCACCATCCCACAAATATTGTTCTTTCATGCATGTATTCTCGTCACAAAAAACCTAAAAAACTTTATCCCTTTGACAAGACAGAAAGATGGAAATTCACCCTGATGAAAATGTGACACTCTCCTGTTGAACGAGTAAAGTGTAATTATACTGTTCACTCTTTTCTTCAAGTACAGATTGACGTAATATTTCCTTCATGTATTGAGAATATTAAGGTGAGAATAATTTTTATGTGCAAAGAAAAGAAAGAGACGTGAGTTTATTCACATATAGTAACCATATTCTCTCCTGTGTAACTGTGATATCCGGCAAGTGAAAGTGGCTCTTGCGTTCAGAGTAGATTATTGTAAGTCGCAGGTCTGTTGCTTCACTTCTTTGTTTTGTGTCATTGCTACTATTGGTAGTACGGAATTAGGTATTTAATCGAAAACATATATACCCTTCTGTTCTTTCTAGAGCTTTGAAGCTAAAAATGCATTAGTTTTGAGCACTTGAACCTATTTTTTGATGTCCAATGTTGAGCCCCTATTCTTCTTGTATTGAGAGAATTGGATGAAGCTGTTTTAAGGATTTTTTTAATGTAAAGAGAGCACTAAACGACGTTGGCCGATCCATTATTTAGTGGGAAGCAGCCAAACTTAGAATGAGAATTAGAGCTAAAAATATGTATTAATAATGGAGAATGAATATGTCCAGACAAATTGGAGTATTGAGTCATGCAACCTAGCTAGTCTCAATATATCCCTAAGCACAGGAGAAGCACAACGAGTATTATAAGCTTCAGCTGTCATTTCAAAAGGGCATAAAAACATGTGCAACAATCTTCAAATTTTTTACTATCTAGTTGTATCTTCAATAAAGAGAGTGAAATTAGCAACAGCAGAAGAAAGATACCACGATTTCAATGTATAAAAAGGTCAGGTTACAAATGGGACTCTAATCCACAGATAAACATACCAGTTGAAAAGGAGGTTATCCAGCCGCACCTTCCAGTATGACTACCTTGTTACGACTTCACTCCAGTCACTAGCTAGACTAAGCAATAGAGTACCTCACATTTTGCCCTCTACCTCGAGCTGTCTCGCGATACCCTCTATAGCTTGACAGTTTCTATGGGGCGTAGGCCCCCCAAAAGGTAACGGAGGCGTGCAAAGATTTCCTTGGACCAAACAGAGATTGTTACTCTTGCTTCCGTCGGGATAAAACTGACCTCTTCCTCACTACTCTTCCACTTGACACCTATCGTAATGATAAACGGCTCATCTCGCCGTGACCTTCTTTTAATTGCTAGATCATCTATCTAATTCGTTAATTTGATGAAGAATGGACCAATAATGAAATTTTTTGAGAAATGAGACTACTCATTGTTATAGCTGTACATGAAAGACATCTATTATTCAAAATGAATTTGTAGTTTCCTATTCATTAGGAATTTAAGACCCGATCTTAGTGTATAGGAGTTATTGAAAATAAATAAATAAATGAGCAATAAACTCTTTCTTGTTCTATCAAGAGGGAGTTATTTCTAAGACCCGTAATAAAGAACCACTAGGTATAACATTTCGCTCAATACTATAATCAAAATTGAAACAGGATTTGAGATTGCATTAATCAAGATACACAACGGAAGGAATTGTTCTTTTTCTGAACGTCACCTTAAGTATAAATTTATTTCAAAAATTTTCCTAAATCATGTGTGGTATGGAACAATAGTCTCATTGTTACTCTCCGAGACAGTGGAGAATAGAGGGGCTCTCGAATGTGGAAAAGGATCCAATGAATTAGAAAGAATTGAACAAGCCATATGAGGTGAAAATCTCTTGTATGATTATGTAGAGTGATAGTAAGGGTGGCTTAATATAGTACAAAAAATTCAATTCTTATGTTATGTCGAACAATACAAATTCACCACATAACAGCTTAATTCCTGCTCGACTTAAATCTCTAATATGCCTGAAAGGGCAAAGAGAGGGACACTAATGAAGTGACATTTTGTAAGGCTAATAATTAATTTGCTGATTATAGTAATATAAGTACTTTCACTCTCAACATTTCCTATTATTGTACCACACCATGAATATAACTGTTCATAAGTCATCTGTCTATTTTGTCCTATAATTATTTCAAAAGCATTAATGAACTCATTCATTATTGCTGAATAAAGGGCAAAAGAGGCTACCATACTTTCCTATGCTACAGCATTAACATTAGAATTATAGACTACTAATCAGCAACCATATATCTCTAATTTTTGGGAAACCAACATATAGAAATGATGATTTGGTACACCATCAGTAGAAATGGATAAAGCTATTTAAAAGACACAAATAAGGAAAGTTTACCTAATTTGTGCATGAAACTGTTGGCCACAAAGGAGACCTAAAAGAATCTACTTTTAACTTAAAAGTGAGAATGTCCCGTGCCCCTAATGAAAAAAACTCCTGACCCTTTTTTCTGAACAAAGATTATAAAGCTTAGGTCTTTACTCGTTCCTTCACAACACGAATTCGTGCAAGGTTTAGGATTTGTGAAAACTAAGCCTACAGAATGACAGGACTTGGTTCTTCATGTGGAGCGTGCAAGTTCTTGAGGAGAAAGTGCACGAGCGAATGCATCTTTGCTCCTTACTTCTCTTACGACCATGCAGCAAGTCATTTTTCTGCTGTTCACAAGGTTTTTGGCGCAAGCAATGTCTCCAAGCTATTGCTACACCTCCCTGTACAGAATCGAAGTGATGCTGCCATAACATTATCCTATGAAGCATTGGCAAGAATGCAGGACCCTATTTACGGTTGTGTTGCATATATTCTTGCACTGCAGAAATTGGTTCGTTGGTTCACTTCTCTCTAGAAACCTCTTATTATATTGCAATAAAATCAAGGACTTCATAAGTAAAAACTTACCATGCAGGTGGCCACCCTCGAGGAGGAGATAGAAACCATCGGAAATCAAATGGCTAATATTGGAGTTGATGCCCCTAATTATGTAACGTCTCAAGAAACTAACGTCCCAAATGGCGTTCTACAATTTTCTTCTGTGTATACTAACGTAAACGATCATATTAATCAACAAAGTCTACAACTTCAACAACCTGAAAATTTATCAGCAAATCAAGCTTGCTCTAGCCAAATGAACGTGCAGTTTCCCCAGGAAAATTTATTTGAAGAAGAGATTTTCCAAGCATACTCCGATTCCAGTGTCTTTGACAGATTCTACGAAGAACTAAACCAAGATATGTATCTGAAATCTCAGTGGATGTGCAGCACCTTAAATTCAAGATGAATCTGAAACTGAATTTATTGTGCTTTTTTCCTAGCAGGCACAGATATTGCACACGGAAGTATTATGTTACGTTTTCGTCTTGTTTTGTTTTTCATTTTTTCTTTGGCATGATGCTACTCCTAGTCCGCTTATTATATCTAGTGTATATCAGGATATTTTTCCTCCTCCTGTGTAACTTTGAAGTTTTGGGTCACCATCCTAATTCAGACTTCAAATCAGGAATTCAATTTTAGTATCTAAGATTGCCAGGTCCAGAAATATAGGCTCCCTATGGAATTCAACTTGTGGAATTCTACGGTTAAGGAATATAAAAGCTGTAGTTGCAGAAACAACGGCATCTTTTGTTGAGGTACCATAAAATCGTCTAATTACACACATCTGAAAGAATATCAAATTTGGAACCAAACATCATGTGCTAAGTAGGAACTGACATAATTCATTTTCTGGACAATAATAAGTCCAGGTTGTCCAAGCAAAGAAAGTACAATAATAAGTTAGACCATAT